GAGTTCTTGCGCAAAAAGGTGTGTGTGGATGGATGCTCAACACGGGTTTCTTGTGCAAAAAGAGCCTATCACAAAAAGCACAGGTGCTCTGATAGCCATTCTGTGAATGGCAATCAGAACTTTCTTGCACAAGAGTGTCCATGCAGTGTGGACGCTCTCTTGCGCCAAAGCACATCGCTTTTGTGATGAGCTTTTGAGGTGTGGACGTGCTTTTGTGCAAAAAGTTTTTGTGGAAGATCTGTTGCGCGAAAACCCTGCAGTGTAGACAAAACCTTAGTGCAGGCTACCGCTTGAGCTAAAAGCCAGCTGGTTCACAGCTTAGGCTGTAGAGTTCCCTTGTTCTTATCTCTTGCTCTATGTGGTCTAAGTGCCACTATATGGGACAGTGAACCACACTAGGTGTATGGGTTACACGAGCCCATGCAGGTGCACAACCTAAAGGGAACTCCCAGCGGCTGCCATAAGAGCTATATTTGGTTCCGTCCCACATGTCATAGGTTGCCAACCTCTGATGTGAATGGATGGTGCGTTGTTATGTGCATTGCTGTGATTTGATCAGCCCTTCTCAGAAATTATACCAAGAAACAGAGGAGAGCCAAAGATGTACAAAGGAAATATGTAGAAGATTAAAAGAATTCCATACGAGGGGAGAATGAAAAAATTAGGACTGTTAAGGAAATGAATAAGAGAGGCTTTTTTCTTTTTAAAATGCAAAGGAAGACAACAACTGATAAATGGAAAAAATTTTACACAAACACACAATAAAACTGTGGAATAGACTGGCTCAAGGTATCATTGAAGCTAAAGGTTTAGTAAGATTCGTAAGCTAGCTGTTTCTATGGACAAAGATAAAATCCACAGCTGTATTATAAACTAAAAAAAAAAACCCAAGGGATGTGCACCCTCATGATTTATGGTGCAACCCTACCACTCACTGCCTAAGGTTAGGAAGGAGTTTCTCATATGGGCTGGTTATTCCAAAATTGTATAGACAATGGAATTTGTTGCACCTTCTTCTAAGGTCTGAGGTGCCGTCTCATTTCAGAGACACGATACTGGAGTAGATATTTTATTTGATATCTGGTTTGATATTTTATTACAGTTCCTGTGTTCCCATGTCTTGTGGCTCAGAGTTAAGAACATTATTATAATATGTAAGACTGAATGCTTATAAGCCAGTCTTGTCTGTAAGTCAATATATAGTATTTTCCTTAGCACCCATCCTTGTACCAAAGTACTAACCGCAACACATTTATAGATTCCAAAGCCAAAAGGGATCTCTCTGATTATGTAGTCTGATTGCTTATCCAGTGTGGGCAATAGAGCTTCTCTCACATTATTCCTACAGCATATCTTATTGAAAAACATCCAGTCTTGATTGAAAAATTTTCAGTGATGAAGAATCTAAATTGTTCCAGTGGTTAATTATTCTCACAAATTTACATCTTATTTCCAGTCTGAATTTGTCTCACTTGAGCTTTTGACCATTGTATCATATGTGGCCAGTGTAAAATATTAAAATATTTATTTTTAGTTGGACTAGTATTTGGAATATTTCTAGGACTAGTCTCTCTTGATTCGGTTAAAAAAATAGGGTTTTAAAATACTTAGTGCATTCTTGATTTTACCTTATAGTAAAATTGAAAAGAATTATTTCCCAGTCACATATTATGCAGATTTATTAGTTTACTGGGGCATGCTCCCTCCCTGTTCTCTCTTTGTGGAGGAGCAACTTTCTGTGATTTATTTACATTCCAATCACCAACACCAATTTAGTCCTGTGCAGCGGTATTATATACAGCACTTCTCTACCTTAGCCATTTCCCATAGGGCCAAGAAAGGGACTGAGGTCTCCCTTCTTTGAGATCTCTGCACACAGAGGGTCAATTACGTTTAAACCCTTCTGACTGGACCATCTTACATATCCTTTCATAGTATTAAGGGGGTTCTGATACCACATCATATATTAATCCCTAAGGGTATGTCTACATACAAACCGCTAGTTTGAACTTAATTCGAATTAGCGAAGCGCTTAATTCGAACTAGGTAAACCTCATTCTACGAGGACTAACGCCTAGTTCGAATTAACTAGTTCGAATTAAGGGCTGTGTAGCCACTTAATTCAAACTAGTGGGAGGCTAGCCTTCCCCAGCTTTCCCTGGTGGCCTCTCTGGGTACCACCAGGGAAACTCTTCTGCCCCCCTCCTGGCCCGGGAGCCCTTAAAGTGGCATGGGCTGGCTACGGTGCCCGTGCCAGGTGCAAGCCTGCCTGCACCCAGCCAGCAGACTCTGCACCTGGCACGGCTCGAGCCAGCCACCCGCTGCCACCCCGCCCTCCGCCTCTTCCCGGGACCAGTCTGTCTGGGGTGGGGGTTGGGTCCCTTTAAGCACAGCCCTCGGCTAGCCTGAGACAGCAGCTCCACGCTCTAAGTCCTCATCTGATGCCCCGGCGGCACTGCTTCCGGCCATCCTTAACCCCGGTTCAGGGTCCACTTAATGTGGACATGCTAGTTCGAATTAGCAAAACGCTAATTTGAACTAGTTTTTTAGTCTGGATCCGTTAGTTCGAATGTACTGGGTCAGACCAAAGGTCCATCTAGCCCAGTAGCCTGTCTGCCTACAGTGGCCAACACCAGCTTCCCCGGAGGGGATGGACCGAAGACAATGACCAAGCCATTTGTCTCGTGCCATCCATCTCCAGCCTTCCACAAACAGAGTCCAGGGACACCATTTCTATCCCCTGGCTAATACCACTCCATGGACCCAGCCTCCATGAATTTATCTAACTTCTCTTTAAACTCTGTTATAGTTCTAGCCTTCACAGCCTCCTGCAACAAGGAGTTCCACAGGTTGACTATTTGCTTTGTGAAGAAGAACTGACTGATATTAGTTTGAAGCCTGCTACCCATTTCATTTATTTTGGTGTCCTCTAGTCCTTCTATTATGGGAACTAATGAAGAACTTTTCTTTATGCACCCTCTCCACACCACTTGTGCTTTTATAGACCTCTATCATATCCCCGCTCAGTCTCCTCTTTTCTAAGCTGAGAAGTCCCAGTCTCTTTAGCCTCTCTTCATATGGGACCTGTTCCAAACCCCTGATCATTTTTGTTGCCCTCCCCTCTCCCACCCTCTCTCTTCCCCTCTCCCACCTCCTTGATCTACAAGCCAATTCAGGACAGCTTGGACATGGCGGTGTCCATCTCATAAGGCATGATACCCACGCTGATACGATGGTTGCACCCACTCGAGGAAGTGGCATTCTTCTCGCTGTTGCCTACACTGACACTTGTAAGAGACACTTTGGACCTTGTGTGAAGAGCCCACTTGGGGAGCCTAAAGACTCAGGAGGTGTGGTGCATGTTGGTGTATATGGACAATACGACCACGATGTTTTATATAAACAAGCAAGGGGGAGCACAATTACCTCGCCTCTGTCTTGAAGCCCAAAGCCTCTTAAGACTTCTGTTCATTCCAGAATCGTCATCTGGGTTCCATAGCAGACACATTTGTGATTCATTGCGGAGAGGGGCAGCTATTGTATGCATTCTCTCCTCTCTCCCCACCTTCCCCCGGCTCCTGCTACACTGGGTCCTGCTCAAGGCACACAGAGACAGAGTGTGCCTGATCTTACTGGCACCGGTGTGGCAGTATCAGAATTGGTTCTCCACCCTCCTCACTCTGTCAGTGGAGGCCACAATAGCCCTTCCCCTGTATCTCCTCATGCAACACCGGGGCATCTCAAACCCCGGGGCATCTCAAATACCCACACCACTCTACCTCATGATGGGGAAGCTAGATGGCTCAATCTGTTAGAGCTTCAATGCTTAGCTCAAGTACGGGAGGTTCTTTTGAGAAGCAGGAAACCCTTCACCAGGCAGTATACTTGGCCAAATGGAGGTGATTTTCCTTTTGGTGAGCAGAACAGGATGTTTCCTCCAGGCAGGCACCTGGTACTGGATTACCTGTTATACTTCTGAACACAGGGCTTAGCACCATCTGCTGTTAAGATCCACTTAGCAACTGTGTCCACTTTCCACGCAGGGCGCTCCCAGTGTTCCCTTTTCATTCATTCAATGGTAACTCATTTTAGGAAAGGGCTGGACAGGTTGTATCCATATTCTCATCCACCTTTTCCCACATGAAACATTAACTCGGTACTCAATAAACGTATGATATTCTCCCCCCTTCCCGCTCCCATTTGAACCAATGGCTAAGTGTTCACTGAGTCACCAGTCTATGAATGCTGCTTTCTCAGTAGCTATCACGTCAGGGTGGGTGCCGGACCCAGCGTGAGCCGGATCTGAGCCAGCATGCTTGCGTGCTGGCTACTAAAATATTTTAAATGCAGAGCAGCAGAGTGGGGGATTGCACGTAGCTGATTGCGTTAACTGATAAGTGAACACAATTAACTGGCTACAGTATTACATCCCGAATATTAGCATTTGTAGCACTCATGAAAAATGTGTACCTTTAGGAAAGCACTGAACAAGAGACGAAATTGAAGGACATTAAAATAGAGATGTTTTCCTAGGCGTGAGGGATTGGGTGACCCATGAAAGCAGACATGAAGACATTGGAGAATGAGGTTAAGGAAGAGGCAGGAATAGCTTGTTTAGTGCAGCAAAGGGAGCAAGGTGGAACATGATAATAGACGAGAATAGATATGCAAGCAAGAGTATGCAGACATTTAAAGTGAGGAACAGAGTCTTAAGCTAGCTTTGGTAGGTGAGAGGATGTCAGCAGAGGGGAATGATGAAGTTATAGTTGTCTGCTGCACTGAAAAAAATCTTGTTCAGTTTTTCACCTATTTTTTAAAGTGTAAAGTAAAAATGGGTAAGTATACACAGTTGTACTCATTATTCACTACCACATGCTCTTAAAATGGATTTTTTTTTAGAATAATAGCACTTGTGGAGGTCTTTCAAAGTACTGCACTATTCTGTTACAACAATTATATTTTTTCACAGGTTAAGACTTACGTAATTGTTTGTTTTACAGGCCGGACCTGATAGACATGAATACCGTTGCTGTTCAAAGCAACCTTGCAAATTTAGAACATGCTTTTTATGTAGCAGAAAAACTTGGTGTCACCAGACTTCTGGATCCGGAAGGTGAGTTGATTCTTAAAGACTTAACTACAAAACATGTTGGCATCTCTGAAATGCTTCCTGTTCTACACATAGTTCAAGTTAGGCTGAACTGCAGGGTCTCAATGCATGGGTCAGACAAAGGTGTTCAGCGAATAGAACCTTTTGGATAAGGAAGAATGGGCTCCACCTAACACAAAACAGAGCAAGATTGTTGACATACAAGATTTAAAAAGAACAAAAACCTCATAGGGGAGTTTTGAAACTAAGAGATGGGGGAAAGCCAACATGTGCAGAGGAGGATGTAGTTAAGCTAGACATCATTTAGGGAAGAATTTATTAAAGGATATTCTCTATATCCCAGTAAAAAGGAGAGGACAAAATTTAATAAGATACAGGTAGGAACTGAAGAGAAAAACTCAGATGAAAGAGTTCCATTCCGTTATATCATATGAAGGCAGAAAACTAAGTAATTACAGGTTTTATCAGTGCTTGTATATGAATGCCTGGAACATAAGTGCCTGGTCATAATAAGGATATTGTTACATGTTGAACTTCTGTAGTCCAGCACCCTTGGGACTTGCTCAGTGCTGAACCAGAGAATTTGCTGAATCACGGGAGGCTAAGTTCCCTCTAGGGCACACACCTATCTGGGTGTGCAGAAATAATTTTAAGCCTGTCCACCTCCTCAGCAGAGCCATGCAGCAGCACTCGACTTTCTGAAAAGTAAGCTGCTCCCGGGATGGGCTACATGGTGGGCAGTTGTACCATGTGCCAGGACCAGAACCGGAGTTGGCTCCAGCCCCGGTGCACCCTAACCCATGTGGCCCTGCCCAAGGGGCAGCCTGCCCATAGCTCCAGACCTTCCCCAGGGCTGAAGCTGTGGCCAGAGTGGGCTGTGTGGTGGCTGCCAGAGATAGGTTGCAGCTGCACCGTGACCCCAGCTCCAGCCCCGACTTATAGGGCAGCTGCCCGCCACGCAGCGCACCCCAGGAGCATCCAGGCAGGTGCCATGCAGCCCTGGCTGTAGCTCTAGCCCTTTAGGGTTGGAGCTATTGCCAGGCCTCATGGCGGCTGCTCGGCTGCTCCAGTGGCCGGGGCCACATGGCAGGGGGCCAGTGCTGCTCCAGCAGCCGGGGCCATGGGGCAAGGGCCTGCTCCGGTGTCCGGAGCCGTGTAGCAGCCTGGGCTGCTGCTCTGCACCATGTGGTGGTGGGTTGCACAGCTAAATTTTCTAGCCACCATTAATTAGGAAGGTTTCTGAAAGCCACTGTTGGAACACGGGGTAACGGGCGAGATAGACCATTGGCCTGAGCCAGTATGGCCATTCTGAAGTTCTTATATTAAAACATAATCTCTCAGTCTGTAGGCTTCAGAGTAATTGTGAACATTCTTCACAACAGAATCTGTTCTGTTCCTAGATGTTGATGTCTCCTCACCTGATGAGAAGTCAGTCATAACTTACGTGTCATCACTTTATGATGCGTTTCCTAAAGTACCAGAGGGCGGCGAAGGCATCAGTGCAAATGTAAGTTAGTGAGCATGTCAGCTTCATTGATATGCCTTGATTTTTATAAGGTTTCAGCTCAGTAATGCAGTTAGCTACATTCTCCATAGACTGGTATATCAACAGTAATAAAATAATACTAGAACATAACAACATTGAAAGTTTTTCCTGTTGTCAGTAGGTTGGTTCTTTGGTTTCATGATCTAACTGAGAGTGCCAAATGATTTTAATCTCTAAACAAATATTTAATTTGTAACAATACTCCACATGCTTTAGAGATGAAGACATTGAAGCCGAGAGCTTGACTAATAAATAATGATTTGCCCAAAGTCACAGGAGGAGTTACAATCAGTGCTGGGATCATAACTCAGAACCTGTTGACGCCCAGTCTTGTGGTCAGATCATTGTCACACTTTTGTGTTCCTTATGTCTTTTGAATGGCATTAGAAGTAGGAAGCTTCTATGTTATCACTATAAATACACTATAAATAACTTCTATGTTATCACTATAAATACTATAAACATTCCAAAGCCTACTCGCCTTACTTATGCAAGTTTCTCAGTTGATTTATTTTACGTGAGTAGGTTAAAGGGGCCAGAATATTGTGATTTTCATTTTGCAATTGCCAAGATTAGGGATTTATTTTGCTTTATGCGCCTGAATATCTGCATCTTTTTGAACTCAGCTCCAAAAGGAATAGTTAAAAAAAAAAAAAAGCGACAGCTCTTGTTTTCTTATACACTGACTATGAGTTGCTTTTCTAGGATGTTGAAGTGAAATGGGTTGAATACCAGAATATGGTGAACTACCTCATCCAGTGGATCAGGCACCATGTCACAATAATGTCTGACAGAATATTTCCAAACAATCCTGTAGAGCTGAAGGTGAGACACAGAATCTTACATGTACTGTATTATTCCTCTTTTGTTTGAAGAACAGTAGAAAAAATACAAAAAGCAGAGGAATAAAATGGATTTTCATTTTTTTTAAAATTTAAGGTGAACATTAACTTTGTGGAGTTTCTGAGACCCTGTGTTCCCAGAGTTAAGCATGAGGAGGGTATGATATGGCTCTATGCAAATAATTCACAGGACACCAAATGTTCATTTTTTAAAAATAAATATATTGTGTTGTGGAATATGAAATATGCAAAGCATATAGGGCCACATTCTCTGAGCTGCTGAGGTTCCTTTGTGCCCCTGAAGCAAATGAGATGCCCAGACATGTTAAATTGTATGTAAATTCTGACATCTGCCTCCCATATTCCCCACACAGATATTAGGTTGGAAGAACAGGAGCAATTATTTGGCCTGTGTGCATGCAAATGGTGTTGAGGTTGAAGCCCATTGAAAACCTTATCCTTTGATTATCACCTCCTCTCTGTTCCCCTTCTACAATAAATGTTTTACTACAGTCTTAAGCTGCACAAGCACATTTTTCATTGGTGGACAGAGAGCTTTTATGCAAGTCTTTAACTGAACAATATAAGAGCATAAGCCTATTATACATAATGGAATGTGATGAGGAAGTAGTAAAATACTCACATTTAAGAAATAGCTGGTAATATATATTTATATTTCTCCAGGCACTTTATAACCAATACTTGCAGTTTAAAGAAACAGAAATTCCACCAAAGGAGATAGATAAATCAAAAATTAAACGTTTTTATAAACTTCTGGAGGTAAGCTGTACTTTTTATGTTTTATTGTGTTTATTATATTGTATTTTTCATTTTTTTTTTGTTTATTTTAAGCATCCATTCTTTGTTTTTGAAGGTCTGGATAGAATTTGGACGCATCAAACTCCCTCAAGGCTACCATCCAAATGACATAGAAAAAGAGTGGGGAAAACTTATTATTGCCATGCTGGAAAGGGAGAAAACCCTTAGACCTGAAGTAGAGAGGTATGCTAGTGAATGTTTGGCAGGAGCGGTTTATTTCCTTTCTGCTCTTTTGCCTTGCATTGGAAACTGCTGATGTCTTTTCTGGGCTAAAATCTGCAGAATTATTTCATCTTGAAGAATTCTCACAGGTTTTTTTTTTTCAAGCCTTTAGATCTATTTCTCATTTATAGTTTCAGGATCCATGTGGTAATGAGTTGGGTGGTTCCAACCAATCCAGAATAAATATTAGCTGTGCCTCAATCAAACAACTGAACTTTAGTGAAATTCTCTCCTATGCAGGGGTCACTACAAGTCTGTGTACCACTTAAATTCCATTTAAACCCTATTCTGAGGGCTTAAGGAGAATTAAGTACAGCACTGGCTTTTTGCCCAGGGATTAAATTCAATGCATACAAGCATATTTGAAGCCCTATTTTTTGGGTTATTAAATGTATATTTCACTCAAGTATTACAAAGCATTTAAAATATAAAACATCTGTGAGCAATTCTGCATGAGTACTGGAATATGTGACCTGATTTCTTTTCCATCACAAATGTCTGTGATTATGTGTATGTTCAACATTACTGAGACCATGGGCGAGGCCTAAGAAGAGATTCTGTTTTTGCAGATACAATTTGAAGACTATAAAAAATGTCACTCGTGGCGTGGGCTTACAGTGAAGGCAGTCTGCCTCACTTTCCCCCAAAGGAGATCCTTAAACTCCACACAAGCCCATTAAAAAAAACCTATTGCCACTTCTTGGAATCTGGATTCATTCAGACAAAATAAACTCAAAAATAAAACTCAAAGGCCCAAAACAAATTCCATCTCTTTTTCCCTCTTGTCAGGTCACACTTAGATCTTTCCTGTCTGTGGTCTCAATCCCACATCCCAGGACACTTTGCTAGAACCTGATCACTCATAGGAGTCCCTGATCTTTCTAATCAACCTTCCTTCATTTTGCCCATTGCTACTTTAAGTAGGGAAATCACCTGGTCTTTCTCTGGTGTGCCTCTTCAGCACTTGTATTTGGCAGGGCCCAGCCCTCCAGATGTAAGGGGCAAGCCACCTGGTAACAATTGCAAATTGCTAAAACTCTTGACTCTTAGGCTGGTAAACATTTGGAAACAGCAATACATTTGGGTAGCTAGTGGCCAGATTAGAACATGGGATCCCAGTTAATATGTGATGGGTGAGGAAAGCTCTGTGGTTTGTCTGTAGTATTCAAGAGCCAAACTGGAGTTCCCAGTTCTCAAGCTAGTGGGGTTAAAGCCACCAGGGTATGTCTACACTATGCGGCAAAGTAGAATTAAGATACACAACTTCACCTATATTAATTGTGTAGCTGAAGTCGAAGTAGCTAAACTCAGCTTTTGGCACTGTCTACACTGCAGGAAGTTGAAGGAAGATCACTCTTCCTTGGACTTCCCTTACTCCTCATGAAACCAGGGTTACTGCCATCGACCAGAGTGCCCCTCTCACTTTGAATTAGCTGTCTTAACTACACCGCTCATTTGAACCCTGAATGATGACAGCAGCAGCTTTGATCTTCCTCTGTAGTCTAGATTTACCCTCATGGAGATAAGCCTGCTCAATGTCTGTAGCCTGTTTCTTTTATACCACTTCTTTTACAGCACTGCTGTAATATGGGTGTGATTTTATGAAGGGCAGAAAATGTGGAAAAATTAAGTATGAAAGGCAGAATTTTTATCTGCTATATATTTGAGAGCATTTGTCTGTCTGTCACCCCCCGCAATTCGTATGGGGACATTCCTGGATGTTCCCCTTCATCAGGGAGTGTGGGGAAAATGTACAGTTTGCTCTATTCCTCACTCTGGCTGCATAACACAGGGGGGCAGACAAATCCGGAACTACCCCAGCCATGGGATATTACCCTTCCCCCAGCTGTGCCTCTGGAGCTGCAGCATCCATGGAGAGGTGCTTCTCACTTGGCCCGTAGCTGCTGTGGTGAGAGAGGGCTGGAGTAGCCCTCTTTTCCTAGAGCATCCAGCATATTGAACCCCTCATCCCTAGCTCTATCCCAGAGCAATGATTTAAATGACGCATGCACATTTTCATTTTATTTCCCAAAAAACAAAAATTGAGTTATGGCCTGAGCAACATTGGTTAAGTCTTTGTGTATGTGTTTTCTTATGGTCAGCATCAAACCTTGGAACTGTAAGAATGCTGAAGAAAGTAAGATTATGTTTGCAGCTTGATGGGACAGAGCAATGAAATAAACATGCCTGTCTGGACAGCAGAATAATGGTAGTGGTTTGGATAAAGTACAAAGATAAAGGGTTTACCAATTATGGGCCTAAAGTGTTACTCCCTTTTTACACCAGTGTAAAATCAGGGAAGTCACATCAGCATAAATTTGGAATTACATAGTGATGACTCTGTTTCTTTTAATGTTACTTTTATTTCAAAATGTGCACAACCCTGTAGTGAGCTTATAATACAAGTTTGTTCATTTAGCTTGTTGAAATTGGTTGAGGCATATTAGAAATATTTGGCATCTCTGTCTCTCAGTGACGCCCTAGTCATTGTGTTGAGTCCATACTTGTAGAGTTTTTTAATGCATTTAGGGAAGCCAAACTCAAACTAGCAAACATAGCTGTAGGCAAAATCCTTTGAAGAGCTATCAGAGTATTACTAGCTGGGCGTTGAATGTGCATGTTGAAGCCTATTTAAAGAAGGAATGCTGGGTGTTTCAAAAGGCAGTAGAGAGAATTCATCCCTGGAAGCTGTACCTTTTGCAGGAGTTTTTACCTTTTCCATTTTTCAATATATGTAAATGGCCAAAGGGCCAGTGTTCCTGGTATAAAAATGAAGAGCAGTAGTTATGGCTACCACAGTAGCGATTCTTTGTTTAGCAACAGCACTGGCACTCGAACCAGCATTGACTCAAATGAGAATTTTCTTTCTGTGAATTGTGGCCCAACACTGATCAATTCTTGTATAAGCTTTGGCAGTGGCACCTTAGAAGAACCAAGGTACATCAGCCTAAATACTGGTGTTTGCTGCAAAATGTTTTCTTTTGCACTGCAACGTGGATAGTAAATAACATTTTAAAAAATTGTCTGTGGTGTCTTTTAGGTTGGAAATGCTGCAGCAAATTGCAAACAGAGTTCAGCGGGACAGCCTGGGCTGTGAAGACAAACTGATACTTGCTCGGAATGCTCTGCAATCTGTAAGTCAAATAGGAATTCTCTTTTGGGGCATATTTTTGAAAATTTTGGCACTGAACTCGTCACAGGTTTTTAAATCTTACTTTCAGAACTTTTGATTGACTATTATTATAAATTATATTTCTACTTTTTCTGCATTTTTTCTTTCATTAATATTTCTGGAAGAAAATACTGTACATTACCTAGAATTCATTCTGCCAGGTTTTTGTCAGTGGTTATTTTAAATGCTAGAAAAATCAGGTTAAGATAAAAAACAAAAAAAAATACCTTACTGGGAATCTGGAATCTCTATTAAGTGCTTCTCCATTTAGCTGTAGGACTTCATTGCTGATGTTTATCATTCTGTAATACAGGATGCCAAGCGATTAGAATCGGGGCTGCAGTTCCAGAATGAAGCAGAGATAGCTGGGTATCTACTTGAATGTGAGAATCTTCTACGCCAACAAGTAATTGATGCCCAAATTCTTATTGATGGAAAATATTATCAGGCAGACCAACTGGTGCAGAGGTATTTCATACTTTTATTTATGTCTGTATATACACATCGTGTATGTGTATTGTAGCCCTAAGTGTCAAACCTACATTCTGCAGTTATGCTCCCAAATCCATAATTGGACATCCAGATAAGTCACTGGATGTTCAGTGATGTTGAGTGCTCACTAATCTTGTTGAAATCAATGGGAGCTGAATGTGTTCAGCACCTCTGAAAATCAGGTCACTTCTATGGGAGCCATTTAGGTGTTCATTAGACACCAAAGTTTGAACATTCTGGACATTTTCATTGTTCTTAAAATGGTTACCCTTACAACTTACAATTTTGTTCTAAATAAATAGAGATAAGATTTGCATAAGTAGTTGCATTGTACCTTGAAAGATGGTAAGCAGGCTAATGTTAAAACTGGTATTTGTGCAACTTACTAGGAACCTACACTGTAATAATAGAGTGTGATTTCATGGGAAAGCAAGGTATCCCCAAACAGTGGCAGTGAATCTGGTGGGAATGAGCATACAACAGCTGCTTTGGAACTGAGCTGTATACAGCTCCCTGCAGCTAATTAATCCACTGCAGCATTTAATATCCTGTTTTGCAAATGCAAGAGTCCGCCTTTGCAGGTTGCATCTGGCTTTTTGCATTTGTTACATGCTACTGCCCACGTTATGTTGGCTTTCTGGGTTCCTACCAGGATTTTGCCCATGCCAATCCACACATAGATGTGCACATACAGGGTAACACAAAACATACAAATCACTTTTAGAGCTGTTTATTAGATAATATAAATGTGCTAATAGAGAAAGCTTATATAGAAACTAGTGTTGTGTTAGGGATGTTAACGTGTACACAGTTGAGCGATAAGCCTGGGCTCATCAGTTAACCTGCGTGGTTGTAGGGACCCCACCCGCAGCCTCTGTATCAGAGGCAGTGAGGGGGTGGGGAGCCAGTGCAAATGGTGGGCCACCTGCCCCCCTCTGCTGCCTCCCACAGAAGTGGCAGGGAATGGGCGGTAGGTGGGAGCACTGTTCTCCCCTCCCCCCAGCTTCTGCTCTAATAGAGAGGCAACAACATGGTGAAGATTTGGGGCGGTGGAAATGGAAGGGGCGGAAGCTAGTAACCTCTAGAAATTTCATCAGTTACATGTTTACAAAAATAAAAGTTTTTTTAACTTCCCTACTGGTAGTAAGTAAAGTCTATAGTAGGTTACAGTACTGAGGTACTAATTGTATACATTTATGTTTAATTAGAATATTTAAATATACAAGATCGTTTTTATTTCTATTGCTATAGTTCAGTTAATTACACAGTTTTACAAAAATTCTAACACAAGCTTTCAGTGAGATTGTTTGTTATTCTTCAGTAAATGTGATTTCTTTATAGGGTTGCAAAACTTCGTGATGATCTTATGGCCTTAAGAACTGAATGTTCTTCAATATTCAGCAAGGGGCACACATTGACAACAGAACAGACAAAGCTGATGATTTCAGGCATATCAAGAAGTTTAAACTCAGGATTTGCACCAAATTTAAACCCTGATTTAAACTCCGGAATGACCCACAGTTTAACACCTAGTTTGACTTCATCCAGTCTGACATCAGGCCTCTCATCAGGCCTTACTTCAAGACTGACTCCGGCAATCACACCAGCTTATACACCTGGTTTTCCACCACGGGTAATTCAAACCTATGTAACAGGAGTTGACACCAATGCACTGCAAACACTCAAGCTGATGCAAATCCGAAAGCCCCTCATGAAATCAGCTTTTGTTGATCAGAATTTAACAGAAGAAGAAGTCAACATGAAATTTGTTCAGGACCTCTTGAACTGGGTAGATGAAATGCAGGTAATGTTTTTATGCAAACAACTTTTATTCTATCTTAATTTTTTTCTTTTCTGAGGGACTTTTGTTAATTTTTTACTTTTATTTATAAGGTGCAACTTGATCGAACAGAATGGGGTTCAGATCTGCCAAGTGTTGAAAGCCATTTAGAAAATCATAAAAATGTTCATAAAGCCATTGAAGAATTTGAATCAAGCCTTAAAGAAGCTAAAATCAGTGAGGTACAGCACTGTACTTTTTATTTCTTGGAGTTACTTTTTTTTTAATTGAATTGCTCATGAGATAATTACTGGTTACAGAACTGCACTTGAATTTCAGAATCTTTCTTTGGTTTTATGTGTGATTACTGGACAAATTAGTATTATACACATTAATATAACATTTGAGAATAACTGTTAATGTGGCTAATCTTTTTGTTGTCTTTTAACCCTATCAACTGTTTACAGATCCAAATGACTGCCCCTCTTAAACTCAGTTATGCTGAAAAATTGCACAAACTGGAGAGTCAATATGCAAAACTCTTGGTAAGATCATCATATCTCTTTGGTGGTCAACTTTTAAATGTGTATTGCTTTGATAATGGCAGAGTTTTACAAGTAATTTTTTTTTACTTTTTTTTTAAAAGAATACATCAAGAAATCAGGAAAGAAACCTTGATACCTTGCATAATTTTGTGTCCCGTGCTACTGGAGAGCTTATCTGGCTGAATGAAAAAGAAGAGGAGGAGGTTGCATACGACTGGAGTGAAAGAAACTCCAATATATCAAGAAAAAAGGAGTACCATGCAGTAAGCATTGCTAATGTCATCCAAAAAGAAATAATTATTTGACCCTTAATAATGTAATGAGTTTCTAAATTAGATATTTTTTATTTGGAAAAAAGGATTTAATGAGAGAACTTGAGCAAAAGGAAGAAGTTATTAAATCAGTTCAGGAAATAGCAGAGCAGCTTCTCCTTGAAAATCACCCTGCAAGGCTAACTATTGAGGTAAGTCAAGAATTGTAGAACGTCAACCAGAAAAGTCTTGAGACTTAAGTCTTACTGTCTTTGTGATTGTTTTGGTGATGAGCTATTTCTTAATAAGTTCAGACAGTAAGCATTTTTTCTTTTCGACGTCCTGCTGTGTCTCTGTATTTCACTTTCAATAAAATATGTGTTTTAAAACATCTTGGTTTGTACTTTGCGCTAGTAGACACTGCTGTTTAAGTAAATGCCCTTACGTGATTCAGGTATATGAAAATGACTTAAAGCGGCATCCTCATCATGCTATCCAGACAGGAAAGAACTCTCCTGTCATCATAGCATGTCTTCACCAGACGCGCTACCGCGGAGCTGCTGCATCAGTGCATTTCTGTTGCTGTAGTGCAGTATTGTAGATTTGCCCTTAGTCAAAACTCCAATAGAAATGTAAGAAGGAGGAGTAAGGACTTCAGGATTGGCCCTTAGAACCATATTTTGCCTTCAACCCTCATATGTAGTTTCCACTGTTGTTTATGGGAATCTCACATACTGATTGAAGGCACAGAATAGCCCTTAGTTTGTTTTTGTCCCTCTTTGAGCTGGAAAAGGTCTCCCTATAGTATTTCCAGTCATAAATATTTTATCATATTGCTTCCTTTTAAGGTCTGGGATTGGTTTCCTGACCTTATTGTGAATAAATTACAGAAATTGTTTGGACATTGGAACGTAACGAAGTGCCTTGAGTTAGTTTGAACTTGAATCAGGTTTTATGTTGTAGGTAATCTGTTTAGATGAAAACAATAATGTAGCTCCTGGAGGTGCTTTTACAAGCCTCCAAAAGAGAGTGCCAGATTATTCTTGACGTGAGTATCTGCAGGGAAAACAGACAGTAAGGTGCTGCCAAAGTTATAATACAGGAGGGTGAGCTAATCAATTCAGAGATCAATACCAACTCTGGGTTGTATGATTCATTAGTTTAAAGAGTTTATTTTTTGTAATATGTAAACAAATGAAAAGCCCTTCCCTCCCCTTACATTCACTTGAATATGGTTAATAAGTAAAAAATACTTTTTTAGCATGGAAATTATTTTTTTTAAAAACTATGCTGTCACTAATATATTTATCACTTAATATCAGCGTAATAAATATATATACTTCATAGACAAGCCAGTATGGTGACAGATACATATGTGAAAGTTGTGGTCTTTACATTAAACTTTTTATACATAAAATATCTGCCTCTAAATTTCCTAGTATGTGCAGATAACAAGATTTAATCATATTAATCATTTTAATTAGGCAGTATGGGGTGTTCACTGTGCAATAATGGATCAGTTCTACCCAGTCATTGGAAGACAGTATGACTTCTGTGCCAGTCAGATTGGACTGGCTCTAAAGGAGATACTTCTGATTGACTTAAAAATATTTAGATTGCCCTCTGCTGGCCAATATTAGGGAAACATGCTCAGTTTTCTGTAGTAAAAGCATCGTAAAAGAGTCAACAGCATTCTTGTAAAGTTAAATTTATTCTTAAATGTTATGCAAAAGTATACACATTACACTTTAGGGCTTCAGAAAACTTTATTTATTGTCTTTATTGCACCAAATTTTATGATTGATTTTTTTACTCGGGCAAAACTAGTGTTTGAAGGATAGTTGTGTCTACATAAGGATGACAGGACAAACTCTTTTATTTGTAACACTGTTCTTATTTTTTTCTAAAGTATGCAAGAGTGTACTTATTTTAATTTCAGCACTTGTTCCAAAATGCTATCTTTTTAAATCTTTAAGGCCTATAGAGCTGCAATGCAGACACAGTGGAGCTGGATTTTACAGCTTTGTCACTGTGTTGAACAACACTTGAGAGAAAATGCTGCTTATTTTGAGGTAAGTAAGTAAAAAATACAGTTTGTAACACATTAAAGCATGCCTATAATCAGAAAAAAAGTTATGGGAAGGTCATTTGAGAATCATGGTTATCCCTTCTCAATAGCTTTCAGATTGGATTTGCTCAAATTTCCCATTTATAACTCGTAGATGGGCCAGATTCCAAGGTAATATAAAGCGGTATAGCTCCATAATCTTCAGTAGAGCTATCTCAGTTTATACCAAGGGAGCATTGGGCCTGATATTTTTCTGAATGCCAGAGCTACAAATAAGCTAAGGATATGAAAAAGAGGCAACATTCTTTCTGCCTCTGAAATCATAACAGTTAATACAGCTCCTGCAGCTTGATTCAAGTGGCCAGGCTTGTTGATTATGAACAAGATAGAACAGAATTGAGCTCATTCTTCCAAGTCTGTACAAACAATAGAAAAACACACATAAGTGTCAGTATGTGGGAGCAGAAGGCCTGCCGTGAGGTGTTGTACTGAGTAAGGTTTTACCATGTTTAGTCATCTTTCTGACTATAGCTTCTCTTAAATGATTGGTAAATGATGATTCATTTGCTGGAAGGTATTGATAGACATTGTCTGACTTAGAAAGAACATTACGATTTTTTTATATTTAATATATAGAGAGTATCCTCCACAGTCTTAAACCTTGTAGAGTCATTTATGCCAGTGCAACATGAGTGAATGTAAATTGGAACAAATCAGAATGGTAGGATTTTACAGCTCACCCACTTTGTGTTAATGTAAATGAGTACAAAAGGCAAAAAGGAAATGGAAAATCAGGCTCCATCTAACCTGTATAAATGCTCAGAGGAACATGCTACTTTGTATAGTGTGTGTGCTACAATATAACTTTTATTTCATAATCTGTTTTTTAAAAATCTAAATAGTTGTAAATTCCAGAAATAGCAAGAATCACTGGAATAGTATTTAACTAATGTATAGACATAGTGATACTTATTGCGCTTTTGAGATAGTATGTGCAGAGTAACTGATTTTTCATGATGCATTAGTGGTGTATGTCTGCCTCTAAACTACAAGAAGACAATCACTTGAAATTCAAAATATTTTAAAACATCTCTAAAACTATCTAGTACTTTCTTCAGACAAGAACTTTAGTTTAGCAGTTTGTAGATATTTTAGTGTTGTTTTTAATTAAAATACGTGTCTTACCTTAGTTTTTCAATGATGCCAAAGAAGCCATGGACTACTTAAAAAATTTAAAAGATGCCATACAACGAAAGTACAGTTGTGATAGGTCCAGCAGCCTCCATAAACTGGAAGACCTTGTTCAGGAGTCCATGGTAAGAATTCAAGAATCTTATTGACAAAAATTCAGATTAAACAAGTTGTGTAACATCTCTCTGGATTTGAAATCAAATTTGTAACTACTAAACTAAACCAACAAAAGGGAGGTAATGTAATTATTTACTTTCAGAGTGTCTAATTAAACAAGTTTATTCATTTGTCTTTGTTTACTGAATACTTCTGTGCTCTTAAAATACTTTTTAAAACATAAGCAAATATTAAAGGAAACTGATTACTTTATGGTGCCTTTTCTGTGCAAGTGAAACTTACTATTTTGAAAAGACAAAAGCGTCAAACCATTAAAGAAGAAGCATTGAGTTCTGGCCATCTCTGATATTTTGTTATTTTCTTAATTGCTCTATAGGAAGAAAAAGAACAACTCTTGCAGTACAAAAGCACAGTAGCTGGCCTTGTGGGGAAGGCAAAGGCAATAATTCAGCTGAAGCCAAGGAATCCTGATAGTCCACTCAAAACATCCATCCCAATTAAAGCCATCTGTGACTATAGACAAATTGAGGTTAGAACCTTGTGTTTCCTAAAATCAGTTACAGACATGAGGAGACAAGTAAAGTATCATTAATGACATGTTCCTGAAAAAAGCAAGACTGTCAGTATCTTCTACCCTAGTAAACAGAGCAAATACTTGTGTTCTGAATTGTTATTGTGTCACTTATTTGGTGACACCATTTACAAAAGTGCTTTGTAAGAATAGTTTATAATGCTTAGCTCATTAAATTATTCTGCTTTTCTGTTAAAACTAGATAACCATTTACAAAGATGATGAATGTGTGTTAGCGAGCAACTCCCATCGTGCCAAATGGAAAGTCATTAGTCCAAGTGGTAATGAGGCCATGGTTCCATCTGTGTGTTTTACAGTTCCTCCACCAAACAAAGAAGCAATAGACACTGCAAACAGGTAGAAGCAGACTGAAAACAACTGAAAATGTGTAGTTCTTGTAATAAATATTTTAGTTTTTTTATTTTTGTAGGGAAGGAGTATTGTCTTGTGATTAGAACAGAGGAAGTCATTTTATTTTGAACTTATTTGTGTAAGTGGCTTATGTTAAAATAATGTATGCTCTTTTTGTTTTCTTTTTTCACCTGGGAATACATTTTCAGTCAGTATTTTTCTAATGTAACTGTGTTTGGACATTTCAGAATTGAACAGCATTTTCAGAATGTCCTCGCCCTTTGGCATGAATCACATATAAATATGAAGAGTGTGGTTTCCTGGCACTACTTGACAAACGAAATTGAAACTATTCAAGCTGGTAATGTTGCTTCGGTAGGTACTGTACCAGACTGTGTCCATCTGAGTGTACCTTGGTAACTTAATAATACCCAGAAGATTGCAATTTCAGAAACGATTATCAATTGGAGAAGTTTGTAGCTCTGCACACATTTTGAATGGGGCAGCACAGTCTGCAGTGCCTGCTGTTTTTCCGTGTGCAGTACTCCATCTTGATATACACAGCTTTCACTCAGGCATGTAGTCTTCTTATGCTGCAGCTTCACCTGCTAATGACTAGGACAACTGCAAGCCTCATGTTCAATCTCTGAGGCCTGCAGAGGGATGCATTTGAGTTACCCCATGCTACAGAATTTTACTGTGGTATACAGTCTATATTATTCCAACAGTAAAGAGCTGATTCAGATTAGTTCTAAATAAAATACTGATTTAAATCAAAATATCAAACAGTACAGCTAAAACAATCTGTCAACAGCATCTGCATCTGTAAATTGTGTTTTACTTTTTTATTGCAAGACTTTATTTTACAATACAGGTTGTACCTCCCTAAATGGGGACTCTCTCATCTGGCAACATCCATGGTCTGGCAGGATCATGGATGTAGCTAAACGAAAGAGCCCTGGGGCAGAAGGACCAGTAGCTGAGAGACCCACAAAAGGCGAGGCTGGTGATAGCAGGGCCATGACTTCAGCAACCTGGCAACAGTAGTGGGACCATGGAAGCGGGATGGGGCAGCTCAGCAATCCAGCTAGGGCCAGGGCAGCCCATGCATGCTGGCCCAGCAGTGCAGACAGAGCTGTGGAAGCCTGGCTGGTAGTAGGGCTGGGCCATGGCATCCCAGCAGGGGAAGCCTGCCTGGCAACCCAGCAAGGGCTGCAGCAGGTTGGCAGCCTGATCAGGGCTGCATGCCAGCTGGCAGCAGAGTTGGTGCCATGGCAGCGGGGCCAGGGCTGTGTGCTGCTGTGCCAGCAGTGAGGCTAGACCAGCAGTTATGGCAGTGGGCTGGGGCATCCATGATGCCTGGCTGGAAGTGGGTCCAAAGGAGCCAGTGCCGGGGAGGGACAACAGGCTGCTGGTGGCAGGGGACCTTCCCTGGTCTGGCAAATTCCCTCATCCAGGTTGCCAGATCAGTGTGGTCTAACCTGTATTAAAATGTATCTTTGTTCAATTTGCTGCAAATAATATGTACAGTATGCATATTGAGACGTCATGCCCACACTTCTCACTATTTTTGATTGATACAAAGTAACTAGCAGCCTCCATTGAAAATGCCCTGCTTTTTACCTAGGATTCTATCAGTTGATTGCCACATGGCATGGGAGGAGAGATGGTTACGTTTAGTCCATTGCTGGCACAAACGATCAAATATGAATATGGAATAGATGAGGTTCTTTCTCTGAGAGTCCAGGAATATCAGTGGCTCAAGTGGGATCTCAGAACTGCACAGCTCTGTCTTATTAATAGCCAGATATAGCTGCAGTTTGATGTCTTTCACTCAGGATGCAGTGAGAGTGTTCTTTAGATATTGGGCAACTGGAAAACAGCATTATCTGTGCTGAAAGAGAGAGAAACCCAGAGCTGTGAATCATTAGTGCATTGAAGCCCTGGTAACCCATCTTATCTCAGGGGGCTTCATGTGTTTACATAGCCATTGATACAATTTCCCCTAGAGATGACAGAATTCATCTCCATATGGAAATACTTGGGGAAAAGGAATATCTGTCTATCTGGGATCTGTTGAGAGAGTGAGCAAAGTCAGATTAACGAAATACCATCCCTTTGTAGTTTAGTAGATGGGTCAGCAACACCTCATGATAAATAGTGGTAAACGCAATGGATAAATAAGGCACAGATGCTTCTCTTCTATGCATGAAGAAGACATGCCTGTGTTCTAGACACAAGCAATTGTAACTATAAAAGGTCACTGAAAGAGAAGAATATTTTAGAGTTGTTCACTAAAGTTCTTTTTCCTGCATTTTCTGCGCTACTATTTGTGTCACATTGGCATCTGACAAATTGTTTATCTCAGTGGATGTACAATTCTCTCCTACTTGGTAACACACATTCCCTCCTGAAGCTCCCTTCAGGATACCATGACTTTACACAACCTTAGGTGTGCAAGTGCTTTAATGGCCCAAACTATGTTGAATTCAATATGTGTGATTAGAGAAGTGTATCACCTTTGTACGCATTGCAACAATGCCTGGCATTTATACACCTCCATACTTTATTTTAGATAAAGACAATGTTGCCAGGGGAACACCAACATGTTCTGAGCAATTTACAATCCCGTTTTGATGACTTTCTGGAAGATAGCCAGGTCTCCAAAATCTTTACAAGCTCAGATATAGCACAACTGGATAGGGAGGTTAATGTCTGCAAGCAGTACTATCAGGAGCTTCTTAAATCTGCGGAAAGAGGTAAGAGCAACTCACTGGAAAATGTGTAAGAGTCTCCTTAAAAAAAGTGCTTTTTGATGCATGATGGATCTTTTTCTTCCTAAGGGTAAGCTTTAGTCCACTGCATGCTTTATTATGTTAACTTTGCTAAGAGAGCAAACTATCATAAATGAATAAAGAGCTATCATTTAGAATCATAGAATCATAGGGCTAAAAGAGACCTCAGGAGATCATCAAGTCCAGCCCCCTGCCCAAAGCAGAACCAATCACAACTAAATATCCCATTTAAACAAGTTGCACTTTAATTTCCACCTGAGATGAGGTTGATTTGTTAGTACTACTCAGAGGTATACAAAAATTTCCTAAAAGAATAATTTACCTCTAGACCAGGGGTGGGGAACATCTTTTTGGTCAGGGGCCACTGACCCACAAAAAAATAAACTGAGGTCCACACAAAAGTTAGAAGGAAAAAAAATTCCACTACCTCACTGATGTGGCCGCTAACTAAGAAGAAAAAAGACATTCCCCACATTTCCTTCTCACACTAAAGCAGTGGTTCTGGAGTGGGCCCCAAAATGAGGAGTTCAGTGTGTGAGAGGAAGTGTGTTTGGGGTGCAGGGTTTGGATGTGAGTTAGGGTGCAGGAGTTGGTTGGGGATGGGGGGTCTGGTGGGAGGTAGGGTGCAGGAGTTCGTTGGGAGTGGGGGGTCTGAGTGGGAGATAGGGTGCAGGAGTTGGAATGTTGAGTAGACAGAGAGAGGTTATTTTACCTCTGTATTTGGCTCTGGTGTGACCACTGCTGAAATACTGTGCTCAGTTCTGGTGCCCACAATTCATGTTGATAAACTGGGGACAAGGTTCAGAGAAGAGCAACAAGAATGATTAAAAAATCTGCCACAGAGCAAAAAATCTGCCATTTATTTTAACAAACAGAAGGCTAAGGGGTGACTTACTTAAAATCCATTAGTATTTACATGGGAATAAATATTTAACAGTTGGCTCTTCAGTTTAGCAGAGAAAATTACAAGGCTGGAAGTTGAAGGTAGAAAAACTCAGACTGGAAATAAGGTACAGATGTTTAACAATGAGTGTAATTAACTATTGGAATAATTTGAAAAGGTTTGTGAAGGATTCTTCATCATTGACAATTTTTAAATCAAGGGTGTTTTTCTAAAAGTTATGTTCTAGGAATTAGGGGAAGTTCTGTGGATTGTGTAATACAGGAGGTAAAGCTAGATGATCACAGTGGTCCCTTTTGGCTTTGGAATCCATGGATTGGATAGACATTAATCTTGGAAGTTAAAAAAAGATGATCTGGTAGTAAAAGACTAAGGGTTTGAATCAATTCCCATTAAAATCAATTCCTGGGAGTTGAAACAGTGAAAGAACAGTAATATTTTGAGGTATTACAAAACTTGTTGTTAGTAGTAGGAGAACTATGGTATGGAAGTTATTTAGATTTATTTGCTAAACAATGCCCTTGTTTACTTCAATAGAGGAGCAGGAGGAATCCATTTACAATTTGTACATCTCAGAAGTAAAAAACATCAGACTTCGCTTGGAGAACTGTGAGGACCGTTTGATCCAACAGATTCGGACTCCACTGGAGAGGGATGACCTACATGAAAGTGTATTTAGGATCTCAGAGCAGGAGGTGAGCCTTTAGAAAAGAATGATTAACCTAGGAACTGGCAGTTTTCTAGAAGGAATAGTTTTCTCTTGAAACAAATGGACCCATATCCTTACATGCTATGGTTTTTTTAGAAAGGCCAAAGTGACTAATTACTCTGATATATTAGTGGAGGTAAAGGAATTAATCAGTAGCCAGTCTTCAGCCTTTCTATAATGCAGATACATTCCTCACTTTTTCTACAAGGAGCACACGAATCAAAAAATTATAATAAAACAGACCTTTCCTCTAATTAATGTCTAAGTTCCGGGGTGGGCAATAATTTTTGACAGAGGAGCCAATCCAAGATTTTCATGAGTGGTCAAGTACCACACTTTTCTATGGAAGGTGTGTGGGGCACTGGGGCAGAGGTTGGGTGCAGAAGGGATCTCACGGTAGGGGATTGTGGTGAAGGAGAGGTTGTGGGATCTGAGAGGGGTTTGGATGAAAAGAAGGGGGTTGTGACCGGGGGGCAGGGCATTGGCGTGCAGAATCTAGGAGGGATATGAGTGCAGGAGAGAATTCTGGCCTTGAGGAGAGGTGTAGGAGGGGATGCAGGATCTGGAAGTGAGTTGTGGCCTGTGATGGGGGGATTGGGTGAGTTTAGAGGATTTGGGTGGTGATCTGGGACATGGAGTTGGAGGTGCTTACCTAGGTGGCCAGGAGGTGCTTACCTAGGTGGCTTCCCACTGGCAGCCCAATGGGACCCTGAGACAAGCTCCCTGCCTGCCAAAGCCCCATGCTACTCAAAACGTCAGGCTGCTCCCTCCTTGTACATTTCTGTGCCATGCAGGAGCGGCTCGAGGAGAGCTGCTGGCAACTGGTGCCCTAAGCAGAATGCGTGATCGGTGCCCCTTCCTCTATAGCCCTCAATGACGTGACATCATCATTGGGCGCCGCGTTTAACATGGCGCCCTAGGCAACTGCCAGGGTTGCCTACATTCACGGACTGCCCCTGGTGCCATGTGCTGGGGAGAGGCTTTATGCACAACCCCCATCCCTGAGTATCATCTCTCAGCTCCCATTGGCAACTTCTGATTCCAGCCAATGGGAGCTGAGAGATTGTGCTGGGGCCAGATCTAGCCCTCTGCCATATCTCCCCCTCGCCCTTACCCCATCTAGAATAATGAACACTGTCAGGCTGATGTGGAATAAGAAAAAAAAAATTACCTTCCATTTTATAGAAGCTAAAGAAAGAGATGGATCGACTCAAAGATGATTTGGAAATAATTACAGAGAAATGCGAAGAGTTTTTCAGTCAAGCTGCCGGTTCACCTTCCGTCCCAACTCTGCGTTCTGAGCTCAATGTTGTCATTCAGAACATGAATCAGGTTTACTCCATGTCTTCCATTTACATAGAAAAGTACGTAATTAACCATAGCATCTCACTTGCTGCATTTCAACATGTACCTATTTTGACCCACATGAAAGTAAATAGAAAAAAAAACTTAGTAAAGTTATAAATACAAATAAAATTGATCAAGGATGAGAGAGTTATTGAAGTCATAAATGTAAAAAAAAAATGTAAAAAAAAAGGAGTACTAGTTATTACATATATGGCAAGACTGAAAAATATAAGCAGCTTGAATATCGTCAGTACATGATTAGCTAACAAGAGGTTACTGTTCCAGGTTAAAAACTGTAAATTTGGTGCTGAAAAATACTCAAGGAGCAGAAGCACTAGTAAAACTTTATGAGACCAAACTGTGTGAAGAAGAAGCAGTAACTGCTGACAAGAATAATATTGAGAACCTTATGGGTACATTAAAGGTATGAGTTTGCTAATTAATATTTATAAGTAAATCATAAAATAAAGTATAATAAAATAATGGTCTTTTTACAATAGCCATTTGGTTAGACTACATTTGTGGTCTAGTAAAAGACTTGTCTGCTTTTAAGTAGACTATAAGTTTCAAGATTGCTGTTTAGACAAATCTGTATCCTCTTGACAAGCAGGATAAAAATATTTTGATTAGGTTAAGATAATTCTTCAGTAGTTTGCATTTTGCATGCACATAAAAACTCTGGCAGTGTTAGTATGAGCTGTGCACGTGCAAAATAAGAATGCCAATACACCTCACTCTGCAGTATTTTCCTCTGTACGTGTGTGAAATTATCTTGATCTGAGGCTCCAATGATGTGTGGCTGCAGCAACAAGGGAATTAATTATTTTTGTTTTATTGGAAGATACCAGGCAACATTAAGACTAGCTACCCTTAAAACTTTGTCTCTTTCTTTTAATACTGAGGCTACATCTACATTGCCATCCCTTTCCGGAAAAGGGATGCTAATGAGACGAGTCGGAATTGCAAATCCGCGGGGGATTTCAATATCCCCCGCGGCATTTGCATTTACATGGCTGCCGCTTTTTTCCGGCTTGGGGATAAGCCGGAGAAAAGCGCCAGTCTAGATGCAATTCTCCGGAAAATAAGCCCTTTTCCGGAGGATTTCTTATTCCTACTTGAAAGGGCTTGAAAGTAGAAGTAAGAAATCCTCCGGAAAAGGACTTATTTTCCGGCGAATCGCATCTAGACTGGCGCTTTTCTCCGGCTTATCCCCAAGCCGGAAAAAAGCGGCAGCCATGTAAATGCAAATGCCGCGGGGGATATTGAAATCCCCCGCGGATTTGCAATTCCGACTCGTCTCATTAGCATCCCTTTTCCGGAAAGGGATGCCAGTGTAGATGTAGCCTGAGGTTATTTTGCATCCCATGTGCTTGATTTGGATGAGCACTGGGAGTGCAATACCCAGGATTTTCAGTTCACAGCAGTTTCATAAGCATTTTGATATTGAAGATGTCTGAACAATCAGGAAAAAATGTATGTATAATTGGTTGATTTCCACAGATAGTGCTACAACTCTTTTACTTATCATTTATTGCATATTAGCAATGGAGATCTGAAGTGGATGAGAAAAGAGAGGTATTCCATGCCTTAGAAGACGAACTGCAGAAATCCAAGGCGATCAGTGATCAAATGTTTAAAACTCATAAGGAACGTGATCTTGACTTTGACTGGCATAAAGAGAAAGCTGATCAGCTGTTTGAAAGATGGCAAAATGTTCATTCTCAGATTGAAAACCGGTTTGTACCGCTTCATGTTGTAGTGTATTCAAAGCACCTTTTAGGCCTGTGGTTTTTCCTCATGATCCAGTTGAAGAAAATTTTTGATACCCATGATTCAAACTAGTGTGTGGGCTCCGGGGTGGGGCTGAGGAGGGGAGCTTTGGAGTATAGGAGGTGGCTCTGGCTTTGGGGGGGGTCAAGGTTGGGGGCAGAAGGAGCTTACCTTGGTCGGCTCCTTGTCAGCGGTGCAGCAAGGGTGTTAAGGCAGCTTCCTGCCTCTCCTGGCACCATAGATCATGCTGCAACTCAGAAGCAGCCAGCAGCAAGTTCCCAGCCAATGGGAGTGCAGAGCCAAACCATGGGGTAGATGCAGTGCCCTGAACCCTGTCCCCCTAGGAGATGATCCTGTTGCCAGCCGCTTCTGCGGCATAGCACAGCCTGTGGTGCCAGAACAGAGAGGTAGACTGCCTTAGCACCCTGCAGCAACAAGACCCCATACCTGACATTCCACAACCCAGTACTGGATCGTGAACCATAGTTTGAAAACCACTGGCTTAGGCTATTGGTATTGTTTCTAATTTATCTTCTGCTTAAGCGATAAGAAATGAACATTAAGAGTTGTTGAAATGCATTTCTTAACTATTCAAGAAACTTTCTAATGTGGTGAATTATTATCTTTTATGTTCTGCTGCCATTGTTCACATGATCCCCTGCAATTTTTCCCCACACAGTGCTAAAAACAGCTACAGCTTGAAGTGTATGTAATGTCTTCAGTTTAACATGCTATATGGACTTTATTATAACACTTAATAGCTAGCCAGATAAAGCACAGATATACTGCCCCTTTTCCCCAGCAAAAATGCCTGCTGAATAGGGACCATAGACTCACAGAATACTAGTACTGGAAGAGACCTTGAGAGATCGAGTCCAGTCCCCTGCCCTCACAGAAGGACCAAGCACCATCTAGATCATACCTGATAGATGTATGATTGAGGGGGAACATGATAGCAGTTCTCAGGTATCTAAAAGGGTGTCATAAGGAGAAGGGAGAAAACTTACTCTGATTAATATCAAGGCATGGTAGTGCAACAGGGGTTTTCATTTGATCTTCATTCACTTACAAGTAACACTCTGAGTCAGGCTTTCAAAATACTTTGCAAATTAATACAGGTCATAGTAGAGACAGTGGCAGTTCTAGGCTCCTTCCTGTGCATTGTAGAATCACAGGACTGAACCAATGGAATGGACCCTGAGCCGTTTTCTAGTTCAGTCCCCTGAACTCAAGGGCTAAGTATTCTCTAAAATCTAGATAATCGCTGACAGATGTCTGTCTAACCTGCTTTTAAAAATCTCCAAAGACAGAAATTTCATAATCTCCCTGGGCAATTTATTCCAGTGCTTAACCACCCTGACAGTTAAGAGGTTTACAGGATCTTTTGAAAAAGGGTTTTTCTTTCAAAAGAGCTGCTTAGTTTCTGGCAATTAGAGGTACAAACAATAAAATCAGTTAACTCAAGGCAGAGAGAATTAAAGACTGAAAACAAAACAATATGGCTATGTCTAAACTACATTCCTCTTTGGAAAGAGGGATGTAAATCAGGGTATGTTTAGACTACATGCCTCTGTCGCCAGAGGCATGTAGATTAGGCTACCAGACATAGAAAAATGAAGCGGCGATTTAAATAATCTCCGCTTCATTTAAATTTACATGCCTGCCGCGCTGAGCCGACAAACAGCTGATCAGCTATTTGTCGGCTCAGCGCGATAGTCTGGATGTGCGGGTGTCGACATCAAAGACATTTGTCGACCACCCAGGTATACCTCATCCCAGGAGGCAGCCATGTAAATTTAAATGAAGTGGCGATTATTTAAATCGCCGCTTCGTTTTCCTATGTCTGGTAGCCTAATCTACATGCCTCTGGCGACAGAGGCATGTAGTCTAAACATACCCTGATTTACATCCCTCTTTCCAAAGAGGAATGTAGTTTAGACATAGCCATATTGTTTTGTTTTCAGTCTTTAATTCTCTCTGCCTTGAGTTAACTGATTTTATTGTTTGTACCTCTAATTGCCAGAAACTAAAGAAGTGATTGCTATGATCTGATGAAAAATCCAGTTTTGTCAAAGAAGACAGTTTGAATGCCAGTATGATTATTAGCCCTATTGCTGGTTTTCACAGAAACTGTGGGAAACCTTTCCTGCTATTTTTCAGTATAAGGAACAAGACTATTATAGTGTGGAGTTTTTGATGGCTAAAATTAAGCTGTATGTATCTTTAAACTTCACTCTTAAATTTTTTCACCTTTGTTTCATGTGTAAACAAAGTGATATGTTTTAAACGACTAAACAGCAACTTTCTGAAAAGCTAAAATATCCCTCTCCGCTCGGAGGGCAGACATGTATCTAACACTCTTACCACATGACATCTGCGTGGAAAATGCTGGCAGATTATTGTTAGTACACAGTGACTTCTAGTGTAAATATGACAGCTTGTGGTTGTTTCAGTTTGTGGCAGTAAACAGACTGTTTTCTGGAAATGTTCACTTTCCTACTTTCTAACTGTTTGACAGTGATGCTCAGTGTACACGTACATTTATAAATATTGGCTCCAATTAAACCTCTCTCTTCCATTTTAACCATTTATTGTTATTTTGTTTACCTTATTTGTTTATATGTATAGCCAAAACATAATTCCTCAAATGCAGTATATACTTTTAGTCACTTTCACTATGCTTCACACACATACATGTGCATGCACACATCATGTCCTTAGCATTACTGAAAATAAGACAGATTCAAAGTACGTATTACAAAGCAGAATATCAGAGCTATTAAAGGAAGAGTTACGGACAGGCAGATTCCTCTGACCCATCTAGCCACATCTTGGCTGTCTTTTTGATTGGTATATTTATATGGTTTTAGGTACATTGTTAGGACTACCACAGATCAGTCTCAAATATTCAGAGCACTCCAAAATCCATTTGCAGGATATAACACTGCTTACCCTTGTCTGCCCCTCTGCTCCATTTAACTGCAGAGTAGAAGAGTTTTAGTGACTTTCCACTTCAATCTCTGTACCTGAATGATATAAATGGCCCACAAAATTGAATGGGTTTTCAATAGTTTCCGAAAGCATATGGCTTAAAGAGGAATTTACTTAAAAAGAATAATGGACATTAGCATTTTTGAGAGCTAAAGCTTTTGCCTTGGTGCCAATTTCTATTTGGCTAGGAGAAATAGAGGATGTGGTCTGTTGCTCTCCTTCAGTGTGGGTTTTGGCCCCCTTGGCTCAAACTCACACACAAATCTGCTGATCACACCTTAAATACTTCTCATTCTTCTGCATGGCAATGAAAATTGCTGGGGAGGGATATTGTGTCTTGTGCAGAGCCTTTCTGCTTCTGGGCTCATTAATTTAGGAAATGTGCAATGCTTCTGCTGTGACTGGACCTTCCCTGAACACAAAAGCCCACTGAAGGTTTGACCCATAGTCAAATAGTTTCTAGTATAAATGTTCCTTCCCTTTTCCAAGTGTACTTTAGTGTGAAAAACTTCCGTAATCTTTATGGAACATCATTAAACTAGGATCAATGTGGTAGAAACTGCCATTAATGTATTTTAGTAAAAATTATTTAATTTCCTAATATGATGATAGATGTAGCTAGGACACTCGATACTGTTAAGGCTATGTTGACTTAAATATTTTTTACCTTCTCCCCAATCACATCTTTTTTTCTCAAATTAAACTAGGTTGCGTGACTTAGAGAGTATCAGTAAATCTCTAAAATATTACAAAGATACTTACCATACATTGGATGCTTGGATTCAGCAAGTGGAAGATACTCAGCGAAAGATTCAAGAAAACCAACCAGCAAACAGCAAAGCTTTGGCTAAACAACTAAACCAACAAAAGGTAAAAAAAAAAAGACAATCCCATTGTGGGGAAAAGGATTGAAACTAGTAAATGGAGTCCCCTGATTGTTGACAAGACAAAATATAACAGAATAAAACAAAACAAAGTATACGTCAAAATGAAATGAAAAAATCTTATAGCAGCAGTTGATGTCCCTGAGGTCTGGACACAGCTCGTGGCTCCAGTTGTTGCATATTGTACTGGGTCACAGCGCCACTTGTGCAAGTTTTATTCGGCCACCCTTTTTTCCTCATGATGGAAGCCTGTGTGGTGCACAGTCCCAAGTGCCACCATCACAACACCTGTGGTCAGGAATTGCTGGCTACAGGGTGAGTGTGGAGCAGGCTCTCTGTATGCAAACCTCTATCCTCTCTAGGGCCTCTATTTGTCCCAGGGCAGGACCCTTCTTTCCCACCCCTCCATATGGGTAGAATGGTTAAAATTAAATTCCCCAGAAGTATGGAAAATAAAAAATGAATGGGGCCCTACTAACAACAAAACAAAACAAAAAATCAGTTTAAAGCCATGATGTCAATCTCCTTTTAGTGATCTCAGATGCCTCTGTGAACCCTATAACTAGTAACTGAGCACACCAGTTTTTTATCCTCACAACACCTCTTTGAGGTAGGGCAATGTTATTAATCTCATCTACAGATGGAGGACTGAAGCAGAGTGAGAACAAATGACTTATCCAAAATCATACAGGAAAGCTATACTGACCATGAGATAGTTTTAACTCACATGGAACTCAATAGGAGTCTTTCTATTGACTTTCTGGGATTCAGATCAGGACCCAGGATTAGAGATACTGAAAATACGAGCAGTTGTATAACTACTATGATGCATGGGCAACTTAGAAATTATTATCATAATAATACTTATCAATCCTAATAAAGGGAGAAAAAAGAGTTGTTATTAAATAAATAATAATTAATGGAGATTGCCTATCTCCTAGAACTGGAAGGGACCTTGAAAGGTCATTGAGTCCAGTCCACTGCTTACACAGCAGGACCAGGTATCACCCCCTGATGTATTTTTGCCCCCAATTCTTAAATGTTCTCCACAAGGATTGAACTCACAATCCTGGGTTTAGCAGGCCAATGCTCAAACCACTGAGCTATCACTCACCCCATTGCTATACTGATGACCTATACATATATTTTACAGATGCTGGTTTCTGAAATTGAAATGAAACAAAATAAGATAGATGAATGCCAGAAATATTCAGAGCAATATTCAGCTTCAGTAAAGGTAACAAAAAGTATACACATATAATGCAGTTTAATTTGATAATGTGTTCTTTACATGTATGCTGGTATCTTACTGTTGATGCAACATACAACAACATGTAAGTGGTGGTGCTCTGCTGCTAAATTGTATTTTAAATACTTTATTCAGTATCACTTTGATAGAGAATGCTGATAGCTTTTATGAGTGCATTGTTTTTACAGGATTATGAACTACAAACAATGACGTACAGGGCTATGGTTGACTCACAACAAAAATCTCCAGTGAAACGCCGGAGAATGCAAAGCTCATCTGACTTCATTATACAAGAGGTAACTAGATGGTCCTTGACAGGGAAATGTGCTTTCAGTTAGTAGCCTGTCGTAGAGCGGAGAAAATGCAAGACTAGTATTTATTAATACATAAATTTAGGAACCCCTCACAAGAGCTTATGTGAATTCATAAACCCTAAAGTAAATAAACTGATATACATTTCACAGTATCTAGGCCAGTGTTTCTTAAACTGTGTTCCGTGGCACACTGGTGTTCAGCAAGACAGTTGGAGGTGTGCCGCAGAGAACAGAATTCAAAATGGCTGCCCTTAAAGGGGCAGGTGACTTTTTTCTCAATAACTTTCCCCTGACTTTTTTACTTGTTTTTCTCAATAACTCCTGCCCCCCCCCCCCAAAACCTTTTTTTTTTTTTTCTCAACAAAAAAAATACTGTTTGGTGTTCCTTGGTCTTAAAAAGTTTAAGAAACACTGATCTAGGCTATGTATCTGGACGTTGGCATTGATAGTTAAAAAAATACCCATGAAAATCATGGATGTAAAACATAGAAAACAGAGAAAAATAAAAGTGTTTATTAACATGATGAGACCGATCATGGCTGAGGCTGCCACATGGGGGAGCTTTCACCATAACTGTGGTGTGACAAGGCTCTGTTGTTGCAGATTCAGAAGGAGTGGGTCTCTACATTTGTACGTGCACTGGTGCAGTTTTGTCTCCAGATGACTGATGGAGTACAAGAGTGAATGGAACAGTTTTGGCTCTGAAGTGACTCTCTTTAGCTGACAATTCTGAAAGAGGAGCTGGCAGCCAAAAACAAAGATCTAGGCTTATAAGGATGAAGATACTTAATGACTCCAGCAATGAAGGGGATAAGATTTTGAAAGCCCTCTAACATAAGAAACAGAGCTTAGGTCCTCTCCATCCTGCTGGAGCACTATTAGCAATACTACAGCTCTAGGGGTAGAATTTTCCAAAGCACAGGAGTAACATAGGAGCACAAATCCCATCCCAAATACCATTTGGTACTTTTGAAAATTCCATTCTTGTGCTACAATAACTCTAATACCAGCTTGGCGTTGTTAGTAAGATTATTTCCTTGAGTTTTTTCTCCCTACGTTCTTTTGTCTCACAGAGTTGACACCAGTTACACACCTAGCAGATGCCATCCACTTGTATTGAACCTCTTACATACCAGACTGGCCATGCTTGGAATCAGTTGATCTTTTGGACAGCCTGTTTGTGTGGTTCTTTGTGACAATATTGTTCCTTCAACCAAAGTCAGGATTTGTCGTATGAGCTCTGTGCTGTATATAACTTCCCTAAAGATCAGTTTTAAGTTTAGGAATAGTCCTTGGACATTGTTTGCTACATTGATTGCTACCATTTTCCTCTTCCTTTTTCTTCTTTGTTTCTGTGCAGTTCATGGATTTACGAACACGCTATACTGCCTTGGTGACTCTGATGACCCAGTATATTAAATTTGCTGGTGATTCTTTGAAAAGACTAGAAGAAGAAGAGGTAGGTCACAGGAAAAGAGAAATCATTTTTTTGTGGGCAATAAAACAGCTATTGAATTTGGACCATAATTTTACCTGGAAATACTTCCTTATACAGTATACATATATGGGACTAGAAGGATATTGGATTGTGCTCCCATTATTTGTACAAGCACTGTGACATATATTTGTGAAGTCTTCACATTCCACCTATCCCCAAATTGAAGAGTCACTTTACAATAGGGGTGGGCAATAATTTTTGGCAGGAGCCACTTGAAAAATTTTTTGAAGTGGCCCCGGGCCGCCCCGGAAGGGGCAGGGCCAGAATGCTTCTGGCCTTTCCCACCTCCTGACCATAATTGGTTTGTACAAGCACTGTGACATATATTTGTGAAGTCTTCACATTCCACCTATCCCCAAATTGAAGAGTCACTTTACAATAGGGGTGGGCAATAATTTTTGGCAGGAGCCACTTGAAAAATTTTTTGAAGTGGCCCCGGGCCGCCCCGGAAGGGGCAGGGCCAGAATGCTTCTGGCCTTTCCCACCTCCTGACCATAATTGGT